GCTTGCAACCTCCTCCCAGGTCCCCAGGCTGCCAGGCACTCCCCTTTCCAGTCTGGCCTGTCAGACGTTCCTGAAACACTCCTTCAAAGGGCCATGTCGTCCCCACAGCCGCCCACTCAGCCCACATGCCCCTTTCCCAATGTTTCCTCCACAGGGCTTGCCCATGCTGCATGTTCTCCTCAGCCCTCATCGCAGGCCCCACCTGCTCTCTGCACATAGCCCTGGCTGTGTCTGGTCCTCTTCTTCCTTTCCACCTGTCACCCCCAGCCCGCAATAGTGGCAGCTCCCATGTGCACAGCACAGCTGTGTCCCAGCTGCTGTCCTCAGCACTCGCCCCTCCTAGCAGCCCTAGGTCCTCAGACTTACTGTCATTCATATTTTACAGACAGGGAAACTTTCCAGGGTCACTCAACGGGGAACTGATACAGCTGGGATTATTTTATTTTTGAGGCAGGGTCTCACTTTCCCAGGCTTGGAGTGCAGTGGTGCAGCCTCAACCCCCTTGGTTCAGGTGATCCTCCCACCTCAGCCTCCCGAGTAGCTGGGACTATGGGTGTGTACCACCACACCTGGCTAATTTTTGTATTTTTTGTAGAGTGGGGTTTCACCATGTTGACCAGGCTGGTCGCAAACTCCTGGGCTCCAGTGATCCACCTTAGCCTCCCAAAGTGCTGAGATTATAGGGATGAGCCAACGTACCTGGCCTAGAGCTAAGATTAAAGTCCTGCCGTTGACCACTGCAGGGCACTGCCATAGCCTGTCCAGCTCTCTCCTCGGCTCTGGACATCCTGGACCACACCTGCCACTTCATGGGGAAGTGCCCTGCTTGGTCTTTGGGCTTTAGTCCCACTTCACACACAGGAGGACAAGAACCATTCCTCCCTTCCCTCATCCGTGTAGAAGTGCTGGATAAAGCCTGCCAATCAATTCATTGTAAAAGGGGGTGCAGGGGTTGACAACTGACTAGTGTAGGAGCAGAGGACCTAGGGGTGGATCTCAGCAAAGCAATTTGCAGGGCACTGCTGGGCAGGAGTCCCTCATGCCCAAGTGTCTGGGCTCTGTATCTCCCCCAGGCTGTAGCTAAGGGCCCAGGGAGCAGGAGCAGAAGCAGATGCTGGAGAACTGAACTTAAAGGACAGGACTTACAGTGTTGAGGTCACACAGGAAAGTGCAGGCTCAGTTAGCCAGAGCCTCAAGGCCGTGGTAAGTGTTTTGACTCTCCCCACCACCCCAGACAGAGTCTCACTCTGTCGCCAGGCTGGAGTGCAGTGTTGCAATCTCAACTCACTGCAACTTCCACCTCCCAGGTTCCAGTGATTCTTCTGCCTCAGCCTCCCAAGAGGCTGGGATTACAGGCGTGTACCACCATGTCTGGCTAATTTTTGTGTTTTTAGTAGAGCTGAGGTTTCACCATATTGGCCAGGCTGATCTCCAACTCCTGGCCTCAGGTGATCCACCCACCCGGGCCTCCCAAAGTGCTGAGATTACAGGCGTGAGCCACCGCCCAAGCCTGAGGGTTTTGACTTTTGTGCAGAAGCGGGGAGCCCCTGGAAGGTTTTGGGCAGAGAAGAAACAAAATCTGGTTTATAAAACTTTTAAACATTACTCTGGCTGCTGTGTTGAGAAAAGACTATTGGGAACGGAGAGGAAGGAGGTGATTGCAATAATCCTGGCAAGAGATGGCAGTGGTTTGGCCTGGGGAAATAGCAGTGTGGGCGGTGAGAAGTGGTCGGAGTGTAGGTGCATTTCCCAAGTACAGACAGTGGGATGTGCGATGCAAGAGAACAGAGACAAGGACTCCAGGTCTGTGTAGCTGGCAGGATGGAGACGCCCTTTGCCTACTGTAGGCAAGATGCAGGTGGAGCAGGTTTGGGGAGGAAATCAGGAATTTGTTTCTTATCCTGGGGCATCTCTTGCAACACAGTAAACCTCTGGTCAAACTATGTCTTGCAGTTTGGGGTTTGGAAAACATGGGCTTCAAGTGACTTAAGTCATGGAGGATAAAGGTTTGCATCTACTCAGAAAACATTAGCTGCAGTCTTGACTATTCATTTATTCATTCAATCATTCATTCATTTGACAAATACTTGTTAGACATGTACCATGTGCCAGGCATGGTGCTAGGTTCTGGAGACTTTGCAGTGAAAAAAAACTGCCCTCAGAGAGCTTACATTCTAGAAAGGGAGGGGGAATAGATGATAAATAATAAGCAAGTAAATTGCAAAGAGGCCAGGTGCTGTGGCTCACTCCTGTAATCCTAGTGCTTTGGGAGGCCAGGGTGGGTGGATCACTTGAGGTCAGAGGTTCGAGACCAGCCTGGCCAACATGGTGAAATCCTGTCTCTACTAAAAATACAAAAATTAGCCGGATATGGTGGTGGGCACCTGTAATCTCAGCTATTCAGGAGGCTGAGGCAGGAAAATTGCTTGAGCCCGGGAGGTGGAGGTTACAGAGATCCAAGATCGTGCCACTGCACTCCAGCCTGGGTGACAGAGCAAGACTCTGGATAGATAAACAGAGACAGGGTAGGGGGAGACAGGCAGATGGGAGCTTGGGCAAGTGGGCCTCACTGAGAAGGTGGGCCTGGAGCAACGGCTGGAAGGAGGAAAGAGGAAGGTGCCATGTGTGGTCAGAAGGCCTGGGCAGGGCACCAGCTCCAGAGAACAGCAGGCAGGTCATTGGGACCACTTGAGTCTTTGCAGACACTTAAGATCTTGGCTTCCTCTCCTAGGTGAGGAGGAAGCCAGGATTTGCACCCAGGAGCAACATACTGTGAGGCCAGTTGCTTCTCTGGAAATCAGCCTTCACCACCTCTTTGCCATCTCTGAGAAGGCTGGTGGAGGCCTGTCTTCCTGAAGGATCATTGCTTCTCACCCTAGGTGTCCGCCCTAAGTGGCTGAGTGTTTGCAGAGCCAGCTGCCAGCAGTGGAGTGGGGGTAGGGAGGGTTCTGGCCTGGCCCATCCCCACTGATTCCCATGAGGCCCAAATAAGCCCTTATACTGGAGAGGGGTTTCGTGTGGGAGAGAGGCTGGCTAGAGCGTCCAGAGATGGAAGCAAAAGGGAATCAACAATCAGAAGGCACAATGGCTCAGGCAGATCGCAGGGGCAGCAGCTTGCTGCGCTGAGTACAGTCAAGCTGTTTTCAAGAGTGAGAGGAAAAACACAAGAGCAAGTGCCGAAAGAGTGCTGTCCTGTGTGCCCCTGCGCAGTCCCACCCAGGCCTCCGTAGCAGGGGGGATCTGGGCCAGCAAGGCCTGCCTGTGGTCCATGCTGGGGGCGTGGGCTGCAGAGCCTGGCACGCAGAGCCTGGCCCTGTGCTTGCACAGCTGTGAGCCCTGAGCGGGCAGGGCTGTTTGGAAACTATCCTGACTTGGGAAGCCTCAGCAAGGCGGCACAGCTATGGTTTGGGAGAAACCCCAGATGGTGCCTCTCTTCACCCAGAACCTTCCTCTCCCCTCCAAAAGGGATCAGACACTAGGCTGAGAAGCCCTGGCTGCCACTCATAGCCCCCAGCCCAGCTGCTCTTGTGGGCTGTCCCATAACCAGCTGAGGTGCTGAGCAGGTGTTGGTGGGTGAGTCACCGGAGGAAGCCAGGTGTGCCAGCCAGGCTAGGCTCAAGTGGGTGGCTGGGCTGCAGGGCTCAAGCTCCTAGCCCGTGGCCACCCTGCTTCTGTGCCATCTAAAGAGATGACGTCTCTGTGAACTACCCTGGCTCTGCTCCTGCTTCCTCCCCTCTGCCCCAACGGCTGCTGTGGCCTCACAGAGGCCAAGGGCTGGGAGCCTGCCCGCCTCTGCCCCAGCTAAGAGTCAGCTTCAGGGCAGCTGGGCGGTCCTTGCTGGGGCTGGGCCCAGGCTGCCCAAATTGGATGCATGGCCTGGGCCAGAAGGAGTGGCTAACTGTAGACACCTGAACTTACACAGGTCACATTCCCTCCAGAGGGTTTCAGAGCCTATTTGTTCAGAGAGGTTGGGCAGTGTATTCAAAAACTAAATTGGGGGTGGGGCAGCTAATAGAGTAGGTGACGTAGTCAACCAAATGCACTGTGTAGGCCTCTGGCAAATCTCCTTTCAAACAGACCAACTGTTCGAGGACATTTTAGAGACAGAAAACTGAACACAGGTGTTGGATGATGATAAGGAAGTCGCGATGATTTTGTTAGGAAATAATGGTATTATGATTAGATTAGGGGGAAATCTTTATCTTTTCTGTAGAAGTTCTTTATGGGTAAAACGATACAATGTTTGTATTAGCTTTAAAATTCTCTGGAAGGAGAAGAGCAGGAAGGGGAGTGGAAGGCAGGGGCTAAAGACACGGGCTAGGTGGAACGAAGATGGTCATGATCATCGCTCACAGTGAGGGACGGTTGGGGACTTAGTCTGTGGTCTCTCTTCTTCATGGTGTTGCAAACCTCCACAGCAAACAGTTAAACCAAAAGACAGGGATGCGGGGGAGGGTGGGCCCACAGATGCGGAGCGGCTCTCAGGGTGAGTGGGAGGGGGTGTGGGTCTGTGGGGGTATGAGTGGCTGGAGGTGGGTGGGTAGGAGGGCTGTTTACGTCTGGGTGTGGGGAGGATAAGTGGGTGTGTGAGTGGGTAGGTGTGGGGTCTGTGGGGGATGAATGGGTATGTGGGTCTCTGTGTATGTGGGTGAGTGGGTGTGTGGGGGTCGTGGGTGGGGGGCTGGGTATATGTGGGTGTCCCTCCTCTCCTGGGAAGTATGTGGGGTCCATTTTACAGATGAGAACACTCAGGATCCGAGAGGTCACAGTTTGTAAGGGAGAGGGGGGTCCAGGTCTTGGAACCCAGTTCTCTGACCCACTGCCACAGCTGAGATGTCCAGGCCAAGTCCTGGGAGCACCTCGGCTCTCAGCCTCCACCCTGTGTGAGTGACACCCTCCCTTCTCCTCCCCAGCTGTCCTTGCTCAGCCGGCTCCTGGGCCTCATGAGGCCATCATCTCTCAGGCAGTACCTGGGCTCTGTGCCCTTGCCACCCTGCCAGGAGCAACAGCCAAAGGCCAGTGCCGAGCTAGACCACAAGGTGAGCACCCGGCACCTGCCTGCACCACCACCACAGGTAGCAAGGAAAGGTAGGGCTGTCCACATTACATGGCCTGTGGGTCCTTCCAGAACCCCAGAGCCATGCCAAGGAGAGGCCAACAGGCTGCCTTCCTGTGTTGGGCGTAGGTGCTCAGCATCTCTCCTGTAATTTGTGCTGTTATCCGTGCCACAGGGGCAGAGGACACCTTGTACGGGGGCCGATGTCCGCCTGTCCATGCTCATGTGCCTTCTGTCAATCTGGGGTTGTCTATTAGTCTTACAGCACAGTTGAGGGAGGACGCAGGAGCTGAATGCTGGCAGGGGGATGGGAGCACATCAGGATAAGTGCAAGGCTGTCTAGACATGCAGGACACCCCTTCTGCAGGCAGAGCTGGTTCAGCCTCCCTGTTCGTTTTCACTATGGTTGTCAATGAGGCTGAGTCCTTGGCCTGTCCCCAGTTCTTCCTAATTGACTTTCCAGACATTGCCCAGCTTTCCTGAAAGCCAAGCTTTGGTGGGAGTCAGGAGCAACAGGGTGCCCCAGGGCCTGCAGGTTGTGGAGTTTGTAACAGTGAGGGCTGTGAGTCCCTGGGTGAACATCAGAGCAGGGATGATGGTGGCTGTGAGGGCTTCAGAGTGGGCGTCCCAGGCCCAGCTTCCTGAGGAGCAGGGCTTAAATCCTGGTGCACTCTCCTGCCCCTGGGGACTCTGGGATAAAGAATGGAGATAGGGATCATCTTAATTGGGGAAGGTGGTAATTCCAAAAACTCACTCGGAGGCTGGATGTTGATGATACAGAATTCCAACCTTTGGGCTTCACTCTGCAAATCAGATAATTAATTACTTAATGAACACAAATGAACCATTAAGGAGATATGCTAATCCCCAGGTGCACGCTCCTCTCCTGGAACATGTGGGGAAGGTTGTCTTTCAGTTGTGCCTAATATTAGTGCGTTTATGAGGCTGCTGCCTCCCAGGAGAGCGTGAGCTGTCTGCATGCCCCTTCTCCTGTGCCAAGTATTTCCCCAGAAACTGAAGCTGCTTATAGGCTGGTTATGGGGCTTCTAGAAAGGAGGTGGGGGTCAGCCCTGGGGTGGTCTGTCTGAGCAGGACTCAGGAGGCCTGGGTACTGGGGAAGGAAGAAGAAGGCGAGTGGCAAGAGAGGAAAGAGGCTCACGTCCGGATGAGTGGAGAGCGTGGCCTGCAGGTACTTTGGGGGCCAGTCCCAGGCCTTACCTAGCAGAGACGTGGTTCCTGCCAGGCTCACTGCAGTTCAGAGGCTGTCCAGGCGGCAGAAGACGTCCTTTCAGCAGCTGGGGAAGAGGGGCAGTGAGCAGGCTGAGGGTGCCCTTTCTTTTGAGGACCGTTCTTACACACCTAAAGAAGGTTTGAAAGGATCCCCCTGGTCGGCCGCCATATTGGAAATGACCTGTTTGGCCTGAAAACATGGAAGCACTGTGCAGCTAGGCAGAGCCCCAAAAGGGTAGGGTGCTCTGGTCCAGGGCAGTGGAGGGGCAGGCGAGGCCCAGGCAGCTCTCAGAAGGCCTTTGCTGCAGCACAAGAACACCTTAGATTCTGCTGCACTCCCCTTCACCTCTGTCTCCGAGTGAGGGAGCCCTGGGCAGAGGAGGGTGCATGGGCAGAGCAGTATGAAACAGGCCCCTGGGCTGGGCGCTGTTCTAACTGGGAGGGGCCAGCTGGGGCAGGTGACTGGGCTCCACTCCCACCCCAGCCGACTGACTCCTCATTAGGCCTGAGCATGTTTTATCTTCAAAGAGGTAAGATGGGCCACTCACCAGCCAAAACCAGGGGCGGCAGCAGCATCCACCCTATTTTATAAGGAGTGGTGGTCTGGGCCATGGCTGAGCCTTTCATCCCCAGAACTCAAAGTCTTTGCCTTTTTGTTTCCCTTCTGTGCAATGGGGAAACTGAGGCTACAGTAAGGTTGAACTGAGGTGCCCCAGCCTGGAGGAAATGGCTACTTTTCCAGCCTTGGGGCTGCTGAGCTGAGCCTCTGTCCTTTGATGCCTGCCCATCCCCCGGGCCCTCTCACTCCTGTCTGGGAGATTTCCTGCCCTGTGCCACTGGGTCACAGCCCTCCTCCAGTCCTGCAAATAAATACTTCTGCCTCGCTCCTTCCCCACCTCCTCTCCCTGCCTCAGGCCTTGGCCCAGCCTCTCCCTCTGGGATGAGGCTGGAAGAGCTGCTCTTGGCGTCCAGGGCACAACTTTCTCTCCTCATTGATCCCATGGCAAATAAAGTTGTCCCTTTGCTTGCCCCCTGTCCAGCTAGACTGTGGGCACAGCCAGTGTCTCTCAGCATTGCGTCCCACATTTGGCAGTAGATGAACAAATGAATGAATCCAGTTTTAATTCCTGCGTCCTTCTCTAAACTCCCTTCCTCCGCCCTGTTCTGGCTCCTGCTCTCCTGCACCCATTCTAGAAACCTCCCACCTCCTGCACGCCATCTGACTAGCCTCTAATGGTGGCCCCTTTGTCTCTTAAGGTCTTTGTATCATTAAGGCCACAAGAGCTCATAGCCAGCCTGCCCTTCTCCTGCAGGAGATCCTGGACTAAAGTGTTACCTGCGTGCGGCAGAACCAATCCCAGCATATCATTTGTAATGAGAAGCTAGTGAGGTCCTGCCTGGGAAAGCACCAAGCACTTCAGCAAAGGAAGCTATGCGCTCCTGCTGCAGCTGTGCATGGGGGTCAGGAACTGGAGAGAGTCAGGGGCAACACAGGTTCCTGCACTGCCCATGTGTCCTAGCTTTGACCACAGAGTCCTAGATGAGCAGGCAGAGCTTATATGGAATATAAGAGCTTCTGTGGACTATCCTGCTTAGTGAGCTGATGAGAATATTTTTAGCATTTTGAAGAGCTTCTGGATAAAGAAAACAAAGCTGAGCCCCTTTCGTTATCGATGGCCCTGTGCATGCCTGGTTTGAACTGGACTTTATTCCTGGAGAAGAATAAACATCTGGGTTGGTGTGATGCTTGGAGGTCTGGTACAGCCCATCGAGAGGCAGAGACCCTATTTGGCTGACAGAGGTGGGAGAGGGTGTTTTCCTGTAGGAGAGTTAAGACAGGAGAGTATAATACTTAGAGCTGGCTTCCAAGTGCTTCCCTTTGGCCCATGGATACTGATTTGCCCCAATTGCCTTCCCAGGCAATCAAGGGAGACTGTCCTTCTGGGTGCAGGCAGAAAAATGTTGCATAACTTGACTCAGTGACTCAATTTGCCACTGTCTCTCCAAGCTACCACCTGAGCCCACCAACCCAGAACCAGGGACTTCCTGGAGCAGATTGTTTCCCTGTAGCTGACTTGTATAAACCATATCTGGCCAGATATTATCTGGTGTGTTCTGTCCAGCTTCAGGACTCAGGGTCATGGAGGGTCATGACCTGTTCACTTCTGTTTTTTGAGACAGGGCCTGTCTCATTCTTTCGCTCAGGCTGGAGTGCAGTGGCGCCATCAAGGCTCACTGAAGTCTTGCCTTCTCAGGTTCAGTAGATCCTCCCACCTCAGCCTTCCAAGTAGCTGGGACAGGCATGCACTACCATACCAGGCTAATTTTTATTTATTTATTTATTTGAGACAGAGTCTTGCTCTGTCGCCAGGCTGGAGTGCAGTGGCATCTCAGCTCACTGCAACCTCCACCTCACGGGTTCAAGCGATTCTCTGCCTCAGCTTCCTGAGCAGGTGGGACCACAGGCGCATGTCACCATGTTGGCCAGGATGGGCTCGATCTCTTGACCTTGTGATCTACCTGCCTCAGCCTCCCGATATTTATTTATTTATTTTTTGAGATGGAGTTTCACTCTGTCACCCAGGCTGGAGTGCAGTGACCCAATCTCAGCTCACTGCAACCTCCATCTCCCAGGTTCAAGCAATTCTCCTGCCTCAGCCTTCTGAGTAGTTGAGATTGCAGGCATGCACCACAATGCCTGGCTAATTTTTGCATTTTTAGTAGAGACAGGGTTTTACCATGTTGGCCAAGCTGGTCTCAAACTCCTGACCTCTGGTGATTTGCCCACCTTGGCCTCCAAAAGTACTAGGATTACAGGTGTGAGCCACCATGCCAGGCCAATTTTTTCTTTTTTTTATGGAGATGGGGTTTTGCCATGTTGCCCAGACTGGTCTCAAACTCCTGAGCTCAAGCAATCCTCCCACCTCAGCCTCCCAAAGTGCTGAGATTACAGGTGTGAGTCACCTCAGCAGACCCCCATTCACTTCCATTGAGATTACTGATATTTAGGCTGTGTCAAACCTGCCATTTAATACTACACTCCTTACCACACGTCCTAATTGTTTCTTGCTTTTCTTTTGTTCTACTGATGCTCCGTTTTTTGTTGTTTTTGAGACAGAGTACAGAGTCTTGAACTCCTGACCTCAGGTTATCTACCTGCCTCGGCCTCTCAAAGTGCTGGGTTTACAGGCATGAGCCAACAGGTCCAACCTACTGATGTTCTATTGATGAGGTTTTTAATTCCATTTTCCCCCTTAGGGATTTGGGAGGTACAGAGTACCAGGATCTTTATGGTAGGGTGGAAGTTTTTCCCCCGGTTGGTTAAATTTGGGGACTGTGAAATTGTTAAGTGTTTCCTGTTGTATGGAAAGAAAACTAAGGACCACAAAGGGGGAAGGTCTCAGAGCTGGGGCAGAGTTGAGGCACCAGGAGCCTGGTCCCCATTTCTCCAGCTGCCTCCTGGGCATCTCCTCCTCCCAACTGGATGATGTCCTCAATAGACAACTAAGGGACAGTCTGCTGGTTCTGCACCTGTGATGGTCCCTGTGGGAGGCACCACCCAGACCAAGGCCCCCGACTGAGAGCAAGTGGCTGCAGCCAGCTTCCTTGAGGGGCACACCACTTAAGGTCCCCAGCTCATGCTCCTGAGGCCTGGGGATGTGTGGCTTATTAGAGAATTGCATTCATACAGAATGGAGTTACTGGGAGTGGGTGTGTGCTCCAGGGGTTGGGTGATGCTCTGGGGTAAACTTAGCCCAGCTGTGTCAACTCCACTGCACTCATGCTTCTGAGTAGCTCTGCCCATGTTCTGCAGAGGGCGTGGCCTCTGCTGTGTGTTTGTGTGTAAATGCGTGCTCTGCACATCTCCTGTATATCCTTGTGATGTGCCACGTGTGTTGATAGAGTTGGCAAACAAGTTTTACTGCTTCTTTCCTGCTGCTGTCACTGCAGTTGTCTGTCCCTGTGCTGGGTGACCCTGCCAAGAGCTGCCGTAATGGAAGGTTGTGATGGAGAAAGGCCTGGCTCTCACTGCAAGACCAGGCAGGGAGGGGGCTGCAGCCCTCTGGCAGCTGTGTGCTGGCCTCTGCCCTCTCTCACTGGCATGCTGAACTTCAGCAATGGGACATGTGTTCCTTTGGGCACCAGCCACTTACCCTCTGTCCCCCTGAAAGGCAGGTGGAGCCTCTGCCCCCATTCCCCCATGCTCTCTGCCTTCCCACTTGTCTGTCTCTTCCCTCCTGCCCCACTGGGCTGGGAACCTTGGTCAGGCCACGGTCAGGAGGGTTGGGAGGGAACTAACTGGTTTTGAGGAACAGAAAATGGATATTCAAAACTTGTGAGTTCCTCTCCTGGTGGTTCTGTCTTACTTCCTCCAAAGTATAGAACATCAAACATCTTTAAAAATAAACCTCAAAGAGGTGGCCTCTGGGAAGCTGACTCTCCAAGAGAGGGGGACCTCTACAGATCTGGGGACAGGCCAGTGCTCTGGGCATCCCAATGCCAGGCAGAGCCCAGGCTCAGGCCAGCTTTGTTTGGGTCCCCGAAATTCTGGTTTCTTTGCAAGTGTACGAGCAGGCTTGAAGTGACAGAGTTAAGCTGCGGAGGAAGGCTTGCATTCTTCAGCCAGCTTTTGCTCAGGGCCTTGGCAGTATCTGGGCCTGCTCCCTGCCCCACCCAGGCCCAGTCCTCCTGGAGACCCTTCTCAGCCTCTCTCCCTAGGCAAGTGACTCATCAGCTTCTAACCTAACACTCAACCTGGGTCTCATCCTTTAACTATTCTTGGACAACCCTGTGGATTGTCTTCCTCTCATTCTGACAGGAAAATAGACCCTAGTGCCTGTCACATCGTATGAAACCCTGCCATCTAGAGCCTCTGCCAGCTGGCCGGATGCACAGCTTCACTGCTGCACATCACACCGTGACATCTGAATTCAAGCAGTGATGGTCTCCCAGAAACACTCTGTTCTCACGCCATGTCTTTGCTCTTGTTGTCCCTCCTCCCTGCAGAGCCCAGCCTGTCTCTCCTGTCCTTGGATTGCTGCGGGCATGGCTCAACCCGTGGCTTGTTTACACGTTGCTTCACAAACCTGAACAGCTACCTTTTAGGGTCAATCCAGAGTTTCGCCTCAACCACAGCCTCCATGGCTCCCCCTGAAATGCCTCACCCTGTGGCTCATGCCTGTAATTTCAATGCTTTTGGAGGCCGAGGCAGGAGGATTATCTGAAGCTAGCAGTTCACAGACTACCTGCACAACATAGGGAGACCCTATCTCTGCAAATTTTTTTTTTTTTTTTTAATTAGCCAGGTGTGGTGTTAGCAGGACACTTGGCACACACCTGTAGTCCTAGCTAATCGGGAGGATGGTGCAAGCCTAGGACTTCAAGGCTGCAGTGTTTAAGGCTCCCAGCTGTGTTCTGAGGTGGGCCGGGTACAGTGGGGGAGGTCCATCACACGCTCTCCTCATTCTGCAGGAACAGCTGCCAGGCCCACCATGGCCTTCCCAAGTGCTTTCTGCACACCACCTTTTCTGTTCCTCTTCCGTGTCTTTGCCAGGCCTTTTTAGTGATGGAAACACAAACATAAATCCTTGAAAGCCCTGGGATAGCTCATCAGGCTTAGAGGGACCAAGGGCTAGACAGTATCACGAAACCTCAATGTCCCAACCTCCTCCTGGGGACTCTGGCCCTTGGCGCATTCCCAGACAGGCTGTCCCCTCCTTCCCTCAGCAGCCCTAGGCAAGTGACTCATCAGCTTAACCTAACATCCTTTAACCCTTCCTGGACAAGACAAAGCTTCTGTCCTCCTATCATAACCAGAGTGGTATCTCATTGGCTTGGCTTGGGTCAGGTGCCCATCTGCAAGCCCGTCACATTGCCAAGCTAGCTTACAGTGAATAGCCAGCCTGCGCCATGTGTCCACCCCTCGAGTCAGGGCTAGAGTCAGGGCCTGAGTGTAGGGGACAGGAGGCTGGGACACTCTTAAAAAGGAAGGGAAAGGAAAGGACAGGACCCCTGGACGTCCACAGCATCCCTGTGGTTCAGTCATGAGCAGTGGCCTTGTGCTCTGGTGTCCCTGGGAAGGATGAGGAGGGGAGTCCAAAGCTCTGGCCAGCTGTGCCAACACCCTGGAGACAATTCAGTAAGTGAAAAAGCGAAAGACAAGAGGGGGAAGCCATGGAGAAACCATTGAGGAAACAACACCCTGGCTGGTATCAGTGACCCCCTCCTGCACCCCACACGCTCACACGCACACTGACACATACACCAGCACACACGTGTACAGGCGTGTACTCTTAACACATATGCACAGAGAATCTTGGCCCTCTCTGGGCAGTCGGCAGAGCTAGGTTTTCTGGTCCAGATCTCCCTGGGGTCAAGGTCTCTGGTCCCAGCTGGAGGAGCAAGAAGATCTGGCCAATCCCTGCCTCTCATCTCCCCAACCCCCACCAGCAGGAAGCCAGAGAGGAAGGTGGGCTGGGTGGGAGCACTCTGCCCTCCAGCAAGGACTTGCCTCCAATGCTTTGGCTCCTGCCACCAGAAAGACAGAGGAATGGGGAGATGCTCTGAGATAACCTCCCCATGGCAGATCTGCAGCCTTCCATCTCTTTCCCTCCCCAGCCCCGTGCACCATGGCCTCCATATTCCCTCTCTATAAGCCAAAGCCAGGGTTGCTCAGGGCCGAGGCCCCACCTAGGGGTAGAACTTACCAGAGCCCTGCTGTGAAGGGTCTCAGATCTTTGAACTCACCTCTGGGAAGTCAGAGGTGCAGGCAAGGGCTCCAGGTCTGAGGATGTAGAGGGTGTGGGCATGTGCTGGGCCCCAAGGCCTCTGCGGCCTGGAAAGAGACACCCACCTCTGCCCAGCAGGGCTCAAAAGCAAACTTCCATTCAATGGCCATTCACTGCAGTGGAGCTGGAAGTCCTACCTGTCCAGCTGCTGCCAGCCCGTCTCCCATCACTCTAAATGGGCCTCATCCCTACTCCATGTTTAGGATCCCACCCACCCCCACCCCATACCCTAGCAGGAACTTTCATTGACAGAATTGGGTGTCTCTCCTGGCAGACCCTGTGAGGAGTCTGGCAGGCCCCATAAGTGACGCCTGCTCTCTGGCCTCTTAGCCCTGTGTCTTCCAGGACCCTGGGTTGGGAAGAGGTCTTAGGTCACCCACCTCATTTCCTAGTGGTCAGTCATATGTCTTCATTTCTTCCTCACTGCAACCTGTCCTGGTCAGAGCCACTTCTCAAGTCAGCTTGACTTTGGGAACAGAACTTTTGAAACTGCCCTCCGCTTCCTTCTTTAGTGCCTGCCAAAGTCAAGGTCAGGGGGTGCGACCTTGGAGCAGAAGCTGCCTGGGCAAGGGGAAGAGGTTATGCGATCTGCTCATGGGGCAGAGAAGACATGCCAGCCTTGTCCTGGTGGCCAATGCCACACTCCAGGATGGGCTCAGATGGCATGTACCTAGAAAAATGCATCCCCTCTTGCCTGGTGTCCTAATGACATACCAGTCACCTGCCCCCTAGCTCCCTCCCCAGACCACAGCTCTTGGCCTGGGGCCTGAGTAGCCCTACCTCAGCATTACTCATGACTAATTGTGCTCAACTGTGTGGATACCTAGACCATGCCCCAGGGACCCAGGCTGCAAAGAGCATTCCTCCTCTACCCTGGGGGAGCAGCCTCAGCCTCGCCCTATCCTGTGGAGCCTTGCTTTCTCCCAAGGGGGATGTCAACAGTGTGAGTCCTCTTTAGAGACCCCACCACCACCCATGCACACTTGGGGAGCTTGTCCTGCTGAAGGCTCAGAGCCCGGACATCTGCTCTTGGGCCAGACCTGCCCTTCCTTGACACAGGGTCATGCACATCAGGGGACCTCCCCACACCGCAGCTTCCGTGTCTGCTGAAGGTGGGGTCCCAGGCCCTCTCTGCCTGCCCTACTGCACCAGGATGCTGTGAAGTGGTACTACATATGTTTAAATTGAACCAAAAAAGGGAAAAAAGGATTGTGGCCCAGCCACATCCTTGGGTCTGAAAGGGCCCGGGTAGACCAGTGCCGCTTCAGCCTCTCCCAGACTCCACTGGCTCTAGAGTCCATCTTCAGTCCTGAGAGGACTCATGTGTGACAATGATGACACCTAAGGCAGCATGCTTCTCCAGGGCTAGGCTGGACCTCTAGGCTCTCGAGATTGCCTAGGGCTGTATGCATACTCCTAGGCGGCCACCACCCAGGGCCCATGAGCATCGAAAGGGGAAAACATGGGGACCGCCTTGATTCCTGGTACCCCAGGCCAGAATCCCAGCAGCAGCAGCAGACATCAGAGCCAGCTTCCTGAGTGAGAGGCAAGGATGCCTAGGGTTGATTCTCCTGGGCCACAGCAGCCTGGCTGGGAGAGCTGTGCTCTTTGGGTCCATCTTTGTCCTTCCCAGCAGGTGTTCCTGGGTCAGCCTCGGTTCTCCCCACAACACACACACAGCAGCTGCCCCAGAGCCTGGCTGGACCTGCTCCCGCAGGGTCCTCCTGCCAGAGACAAGGTCTGTCTGCCTCACCTGATCTGGCAGCCTTCAGGAGAGGGCTTGGTTTGAAGACTTGCCCAGGGTAAGGCTGGATTCTTGGTCATGACCTGAGGGGGGAGAAAGGTTATATGTTCTGGCCAGCATGAGTGGCTTCCTGGGAGAGCCTCTCCCTCCCCCTTTCCTGCCCTCCTTCAGCGTAAATAGCCCAGGCCACAGCCCGCTCCCTTGGCATTGGCTAGAGGGGAATTTTCTAAAGGATGAAGTTCCTGGGAAATGTCCACCCTTTTCCCTTTTGTCTATGACAAAAGCGCTGCTAATGGATCCTGCTTGACTTGGGAGTCAGCTGGAGGTGCCTGGGGTCAGAACGAGTTGCACTAGAACATGGAGACACTGACCTCCCTTCTTCTGGTGACGGTCCCTGTCTGCTCTCTGTCATCACTCAGCCTTGTCATTCCTTCCCCAGTGGGGAGGGCATGACCTGCTTTTAAGGCTCTAGAGCCAGGAGTGAGGCATTCCTGCATGGAACTTTCGAGAAGAGCCTGCCCACCAGATGCTGGGGAAAGACCCAGAAAATGGGAGCTGTGGGCCTTGCTGGCACCGGTGGCAGGAACAGGCCCGGCTTTCTCGTCAGATCTGGGCATGCCTGTAGACTTGGCCTGTCCCCACGATGTTGACTGAGGTTTCCGGGGTCCCCTTTCCCATCAGGGCTTCCCAGCCTGACTAATGTGCCATGAAGGAGGAGCTAGGCTGCCCTAGCTGGCCAGGGTCCCATCTTCAGACAAGGTCCTGAGGCCCGGAGGAGTGTAGCCTCCCAGCACCCATGGAGGGCTAATCCTGAGGCAAACAGACGTCCCCACCACACCAAACAGTTCTAAGAGACCTGGAAGGGCCTCCCTCTGGCATATGGAAGGGCCACCTTGTGTTCCCAGAGGGAGAGGAAGCAGGTAAGGCAGGAAGTGCAGCCTTGGCCCAACCTCCCTCTCCTGCCTCCTGGAAGGGAAGACAAAACGCCATGCCTCTGAGGTGCCAGCCAGGACAGGAGCAGACTTGCTAAGTTCAGGAATTGGTCACACTGCAAAGGAAGCAGGAAGTGCAGCTCTCACAGGGGCCCTTGTCTTGCAGGGAAGGTCCCCCTCACTTGCCTACCCCTGCACCCCTCCTGGGCCTGCCCCTGCTCTCCCAGCTGCTGGTGGTTTAGATGGGGAGACTCAGGGTCTCCCTGCTCCCAGCCACAGAGTCCCCAGTTTCTACTGAGGTTTTGTTCCTCTGGCCTTCACAGAGAGAGGAGTCTGGTGGCAGGGTGGGGACTCCTTACCCACTGTTTGGACAGGACCGAACTCTCTCTTACCTTTTCGTACCTCTGAAACCAAGAGTCCTGGGGAAATGCAGGGAGGAGGTGGAAGTGTGGGCGCTTCCCATGCTAATAATGAAGGCTTCTTTTCAGAATCCCTACTGGGAACCCAGCTTCGGCCACAGCCCCCCTAGATGCTCCAAGGGAGGGGCTCTGCACAGCCACCAATCTCCTTAAATTGGGTCAGTGTCTTCCCTAAAGGGCTTCCCCTCACTTAGACCCAACTACAGGGAACACCCTCAAATGCAAGGAAGACTACCCAGCCTCCAGGCAGTGGCAGGTTTCGTGTTTTCCCTTTGGAAAAAAACAGCTTACACAATGTGGTTTAACAGGGCTTTTCTCTAGGACTGCCATTTCCTACTCACTAACCACCCAAACACTAGGAATAGTTTTCCTTGGATTCCCCTCCCCCCACTCCCTGCCCCCTGCAGATTCAATTATGGGAATCAGCATAAGAAACAAGTTGTGAAACCAGTAACTCTCCACTGCCTGGTGGAGGTCCACTGATAGATTTCCTCCTTGGTATTCCTCCAGGGCATTCCTTAGATCTCAGACCCTCAACACCCCTCCTTCTAGGAGGGGAAGTTCTGCAGCCTCTGCCTTACAAGCAGACGCCCCCATGAGCCCATGGGTGGGGCAGGCCACTGAGCTGTGCCTCCAGGGACTGGGAGTGAAAGGTCTGAGAGGGACAGGCTCCCTCCCAGGCCCGCACATTCTCCCTCGCAAAGAGTCCAGGGTGCATTTGATGGCTCTGATAACCCTTGGTTGTTTTCTTCGGCATCCCTGCCACCTCTCAGCATTAGCTTGCCCTCTCAAAGAGGGGCCTCAACTTCTTTTTTTTTTTTTTTTTTTTTTT